AGCAGCGGGACCTGATGGAATGACTCCTGAGGTATTTAAGTACGGTGGAGACAGCTTACTGTCTGCATTCACTGAGGTTCTAGGCAGCGTCTGGGAATCAGAAGAAGTCCTATCGGGTTGGTGTAAGTCACTGATTATCCCAATATACAAGAAGGGAGACAAGTCTTCCTGTGATAATTGCAGAGAGATTAGCTTGACTAATATAGTATCTAAAGTCCTAGGCTCAGTAATCATGCGTAGACTAAGTGGTGCTCGTGAGGCACAAACACGAGAGAATCAGGCAGGATTTAGACCAGGAAGAGGGTGTATTGATCATATCTTCACCCTCCGACAGATTCTAGAACATAGGCATTCCTACCGGCGTCCAACAGTCATTATATTTCTTGACCTAAAGGCGGAATTCGACTCTGTCGATCGAGAAGTCCTCTGGAGATGCTTGGCTGTAAAGGGAATGCGGAGAAAATACATTGCACTGATTAAGGCACTCTACTCGTACTCATACAGCCAGGTGAGGGCTCACGGCGTGTTGTCATCTGAACTGGTGACGACTAGTGGTGTCCGTCGAGGATGCCCACTATCCCCTTTTCTATTCAACTTCATCATAGATGTGTTAATGGACTTAACCCTAAGTGACTTCAGCGACTCAGGGTTTGACTTGCCAGCAGGGAATAATCTCGTAGACTTAGAATATGCAGACGATATAGTCCTTCTAGGCAAGGACGCTGACAAAATGCTGTCTTCTAAACACCTTGAGCTGCAATCTATGAATGTTTGGCATGCGATTCGCTCCCGCCAAATGCAAGATGATGTCACAGGACTGGACTACACCGACTCCTAGTTTAAAAATAGGAAGTGAAGTGGTAGAGCACGTTGACCGCTTCACTCACTTGGGAAGTACCATCAGCCAACGCCAACGGGTTGATCTCTGACGAAATCTCAGCACGGATACAGGGGGCTCGTTTCACATTTGCCAGTTTACGCCGTCTCTATTGTAGGCGATATATTTAACTATCGACCAAAGGGCGGGTGTACTGCTCATCAGTCCGCTCCGTCCTCCTTTATGGCTATGAGACCTGGCCACTGAGAGTGGAAGACATGAAAAGATTAGCTATCTTTGATCATAGGTGCCTGCCGTGTGAAGTGGCATAATAAGGTGAGCAATATTGAGGTTAGGCGTCGAGTGCTAGGTAAGGAGGGGAAATTAATCGATGAAGTTGTGAAGTTACAAAGACTGAGATGGTTAGGATATGTGTTACGTATGCTTAGTCATCGCCCTCCTCGACGAGCAATGTTAGTGGATATAGGGTCAGGCTGGAATTAAGCTAGGGGCGGTCAAACAAAACTTCGGCACCAGTCAATGAAATCTACAACAGTTAGTCTAAGCCACGTAGGAAGGTGCAGACTTCCTGTTTGAGGTCCTCGAGACCGAAAAACCAGTGGTTGGAAACAATTGGTGACATGGCTAAAAATCGTTCTCAGTGGCGCAGATGCATCCACTCCTTGTGACTTATGATTTCCAATGAAACTGTTTTGTTCTTCGTTATTACTCTTCCTTTTTCTCACACCTCTGCTTACTGTCTCTATCATGCTTTTCCTGTGATTTCTTCTCTTGCTTTGTGTGCCACATGGAGTGTGGCGAATTGAACTGCCACACATTTGTGCAAACTTCTATGTTGAAAACAGACGGACCAATGCGCAGTGCTTTTCGTACCTTTACGTATCGCCCCTTCGTCTTCATATGCTTATATCTAAAATTTAGTAGGTAGACTAAAATCTGATTTCTTTACATTTTTATTACACACATATATTTTTAAAATGCCGTTAGAGACGATACATACAAAATGGCTGACTGAAAGCAGTCGATTATACTATGAATTTCATTGAGTTAGCTACTGAATTGAAAAACAGCCCATGCGACACATACCAATAAAAAAATTTAAAAAGAGAAACAGTATTTCGCCAGGGTCTAGCACATAAATAGATGGGAGAGTGGTGATTACTTCTCAGCGGATATGATGGTAGGGACTTAAGAGAACCACCCTTATCTGTGGGAATGTGTTCTATTGCTAAAGCTCCTGAGTTTGAAGAACTTCAACAAGAAAAATTAAAACTGTCTGAATGCGGTGACTCTAAACTATAGCAGACACGGCTTATGTGTAAACTCCTTGAAAACTAGCTCATAGTATGATTTCTTCACTTCAGAAGGACGTCTAGCTGTATAAATCAGAACGACAGCATAGATTTACCAAACTCCCTCTTTTTTCTACATATTTTATGCACTTTGGCGTTTGGATTTAACTTCTTTCTCAGTATCTATTCCTACCATTACCCTACATAGTCGGTGACAGTCATCATCACTTGTTTCTCTCCTATTTTTACTACTACGAACTTGAACTAACGGTTAGTACTAGATATTATAAAATTAAACGACTATAAGTTCTTGGTAATAAAAAAGGGGATGAGCCCTGCGTTTGTCACATATTGTTTGTTTGATTGATTATTATTTGTTGGCTGCCTCCGCACCTCTCTACTGCACTGCACATGTAGAGTGATGATACTTTCTACGTTTTTACTACTTGAAGGGAGCTTTGAAATCGCTAGAACCTACATTTGGCGAATATCCAGAATGTTGTTGGCACATGTGATGAACAACAGGACAAAATCCAAAATCTGTGATCATCGCACTGTTGGTCCCTTACATCTGCTATTACCAAATTAATGCTGTATGTACCATCTACTGTGAGCTTTTTTGAATTTTCGAATCTTTTATAACTGATTAACTGATAATGGTTGTAAGCTCTGCTTCTTGTGCGTCTTACTCTAGCAGCTGAGCATCGTCTTTCAAAAACTGACATACAAAAGCAAAACATCTGAAAAAAGCCTCTAAATTACAACGAGAAAACCAATTCGCAAAAACATATAAGCAGCGTATGCAGGAACCCGTCATGACCTTGAAACTGGCCACGGCGTCTTTCTTTCTTTCTTCATACCTTCCATGTAACAGGCAACCAGCAGGCACACCGTAATGAAAGCAGAACACCAACTGCACAGGAAAGAGTTTATTCAGCGAGAATGGACTTTTAAAAAGTGAGGGGTACAGTTTTAGGGAATCACAGTTTTACTGAGCTTCATTAATGTTTAGGTTCTGCAATTCCTCGTCCAGGCAGTTGACTCCCAGGTGTCTTCCTGCAAGTAGAGAAAACAAAACATTGATTAGTGTTACAATATTAGACTTGTTTCTCTTACACCATTCCAATAACGCAAAGCTTTGGAATTCCCGCACAAAGTTCAGATTCAGGATTTCGGGTTTATTGGTTGAGGATAGGAGGCTTGTAGCCTATGTTAATCCTTTTCTAGCAGATTCCTCTGCTTGTTCAAACCCTTTTTAAATGAATCAGATGAGGTTGCATACACCATTTCTTCTAGGAGTCCGTTCCAATTGTTTGTGACTCTGTATGAGAACCACTACTTAAGAGCAATATGATTTCTTCTAGGCTTTTGAACTCTCCTCCTATGTACTCCAAGGTGTTTCGACCTAGTGGGAAGAAAAAAGAGAATAGTTGATGTCAGCCACGTCTCCTAAACCGTTAATGCCCAGCTCTTGCTACGCTCGGGCTCACGCTGGTCCTTGAAGTTCCTCAGAAACGCTTAGTAATAACGGACGAAAAAACCAAAACACCGATTGGCCACTCGAGAATTCTTTATTGTAACACCAACATATAATAAATGTTTCCACTAAGGTCTGTGAACAAATATTACAATACTAAATCACAATATTACTTCTGACGGTTTGCTGCCGACTTCTTTCTGAACAGCGACCGATGAGACAATGACTGTCGTATTGATGCCTCCGCGAAAATTGGGGTGAGTATATACGTGGTTTCGTGTTATATTTTCCGCGACTAATTTTTTTTCGTCTTTCATTGGCTAGAATGGTGGCGGTCAATTGGAGTTTGAATTGTCCTTGGGTGCTTGCTGTCGGGTGCTGTATTTGCGTGGTTGTGTTTGCGTCGTTTGCCAGCATATGTGATTACTGTAAACGTGTATTAGACTATTGTAACGCTTTGTTTTTCTTTGTTTGTGCATGTACTAGGCTTTATTCGTCGTACAATTCGTTGTTTGGTCTACTGGTTGCTTGCGATGTCAACGAACCGGTGGGTTCTTGTGTTTTTCTGTAATTTAGGTTATACGTGCGGTATTTTCTTGATGGTTATCGATCATCCCTGTATTTCAATGTTGTTTTTTTACGATTTATCTTGGAATAGTTGTGACATAGATGGATCCTAATTGATAATTTTATTTTAGTCCGTTGCAGGTAGTCAATTCGAGTGACAGGAGCACAGATTTAAGTGGAATTTTTGCTGAATACATACTTGGAAAGCGTATCTTCAGCTGGGGTGAATTTGAGAAGTCATTAGCAGAATTTCAAAAAGTGAGGAAGTCATTTAATGCTAACAGTGTAGTTATCCTACACTCACTATGTTCATAATTGCAGCAAAACGATACCGGATGACAGGTTTAAGTACGCTTATGTTGGTTTTAAATGCACTTTTGGAGTGAATCGTACAAGACCTGGATTGAAATTGAAAAACAAGTCGTAAGAAGAAGTGTAATATGATTTCATGAATATTTCAGGTCTAAATGTTGCAATTGCTCGTCTTCATTTCGCGTGGTTTTGCATTATAGTGAATACATAATTGCTTCCCACAATATGGTGCATAACCATCCATGCGGCAGGGTGTACATGCAGAATGACCCATGGTATAGACGACTAACAGTTGAAGAGAAAGAAAATATTGAACCACTTCTTCAGCAATCCCACTCATTTGATGAAATAATAATGCATGTTAAGGAGAAGTACAACAAGGATATAACTCGCATTGACGTTAAAAATATGAAAGCCGCAGTGAATAAAGGTAACGTTGACGTACTTGTTACATACTTAAGGTATTTCGAGTCGTCGTGACATTTTTGAATTCCTAAAATCCCGTGGGAAGTTAATGGAGTATTATTCCGATGAACCGATCAGGAATTCACTAACAAGAATTTGTTTTGCAACTTATGAGCAAATGGAATTGTATAAACAGTTCCCTGAAGTTGTTGGTATCGACTCGACGTATAATACAAATAAGGGGAAGTAAGTTTACCAATTCATTAACCAAAGTGCAGGTATTCTTTGTTCCAATTACTTGTGACGGATAATTTTGGTCGTGGACGACCAGTTTTATTTGCGTGGACTAAAAAAGAATTCAAACGAGATGTAGTTTGGATATTAGACTGTTTCCGGCAAATAATGGAAGACACCTCCAAAACAGAATCCTTCATTATGGATTGTGCGCAAGCTGAAATAGCAGCCGTCAAGTTAACGCACAGACAAGCGCACATTGATTTGTGTTCTTTCCATGTTTGCCGAGCATTCTATCGGAAAGTAAGTTTTTAATATATATATATTCTCATATAAACATAAATTTACATGAAAATGCATGCCATTTTTACAGGCACGATCAAAGCATACTTTACATTTTATTCGTAGACAAGAAATCCCATTGTGAAGAATTATTTATGCCGTCTAGTGCAATGTAAAAGGAGATCAGAGTAATGCCTCTATTGTTCTCATTTTGCAGATTTAATTTCTACTTCAGAGTTATTAGCAGATTGGATGCTAATGTCAGTCAATATCTACAACGTCGTTGGATGCATCGACGAGAATTGTGGGCAGCCTGTTTCAGAGATAACGTGCTGACTTTTGGGAACGATACAAATAATCGTGTCGAGAGTTCCCACAAGCAGATGAAACGGTTTTTGCAAAAATCTGATAGTCTGCATAAAAGTATGCTAAAGGTGTATAAATGGCATAAAAGAAGTTTTCCAATAATACAGCAGGAGGCGAATATTGCTCAGTCACGATGCTTCACGTATCCCTGTTCACAACGTCTTATCCCAATTATACGGTTGCTGACGCCATACGCCGCGAGGAAGGTAATACGTGAATACCAATGGCGACGATGGGGTATTGTTGAGTTTGAATCCTTTGATTATGTATTCTTCAAAGAAAATGGGAATACAGTGCAGGTTGATCTGAGTGCTTGCACCTGCACGTGCTTTACATTTCAGACCTGTCGGTACCCCTGCCGACACTTGCTTTTGGTCCACTTCAGAAAGCCGTATTTCGCAGGTATATTTGCGTTTTTATGACTACGTTTTTAATGTATAATGTAATGTAATAATCAGTTCATAGTTATCTTAACGTTTTTTGTTCCACCTTTTGTAGTTAACCATGTGATGCATAATTGTAAACAATGGACGTGGTCACGCAACTTGTTCGCATCTCAAAGTGCGTCAGCAGTTATCCCTCGAAATCGAAGTGACATATACGATACCGAAAAGAGGATTATCATTGCGGGTATGAACAGAATTAATGACAAATTTGGAGAAGTGTTTGCCAATACTTATGCAGACGGAGTAATCGCAGGAATCAATCGTGTTCTTAATATGTAAATAAACTAAATTTGTATCATAATGAAAATAAAATTTTCATGTAAATTTTGTTGTCTTTCAATTCATGTGTTCACTTTGTGAGCACGGCATGCTAGACCGGTGCTCTCTAGGACTTTCACTACTAACAATACGTAAGTGTAATTGTGTAGGAACGATGTCGGTCAGCATACGTGTTAAATTATAAGTATTTCAGTTAGCTAACGTGCATACCTATCATAGTCATATACAAGTCTTTAGGGACAATAGTAGGCATAACTTAGGCACTGCATTCGAGTTCCAGTTCTTATACGGTTACGTGTATTCGAAAGTATTGCATTACTAATGTTTCACTTAAAGCGTGATGTCAATCCATATGACTAAGGCTGTTGACATGTAGCGTAAATTAAAGTCTACACCAGACGAATTATTGAATTCGTTGAGCTTTAGCAATCGTATTTAGATTTAGCTTACACTGAAATATGCCACCAATTACTTCGTCAGTTCTTATTATTAAGCCATGTCTGCACCTAGTCATCATGAAAAATATATCTATTCTCAGATATAATAAGAAAGGTCTGGTAAGCAGGATATTAAATGTATTTAATGAAAAAATAATAACAAGCAAATGTCTTTACGCAGTCGTTTGTCGGGATAATTTGTGCAATGTCGAATCTCTGTGACTGGGGTGACTGACGTTACCAGATCAGTAGATATGGTGGTGGTCACTAAGGTGAATCGCCCCATTCTGCAGGAACAGCAATATACAAATTAAAGGCTCGAGATATTTCTGATTTTTATGAGGGCTTAGATCTTTATCTTGAAAAAGATAATAATGAACGCCTTGACAGATCATGCTTCTACCTTTAAATATATACCATTCGCTCAGCCTATTCTTGAGATGCGACCATGTGGGCTCTGCACAGATCTATTGGGCATCTTATAAATCAACTTGCTGTCCAATGTCGGATCTTTAAATACCACTTCACAATGTCTTATCTCATTCATTTTCTAATAACGTCTTTACTTAATCCTCATTGTATCCCATCAAACCTAACATTTTATATCTCTTTATGAATTTGATTCGACTTATTCTATTCCTATTCTCTGTGAGGTACGGTTGTGCACCAAATGCACAAAAAAGCATAAAATAAAAAAGCAGACATAAGGAAAAAATGTATTATAACCAAAAGTGGACATCATGATACTACCAGATATACGCGTAGCATAATACATTGCATATGAACGTTGTCAGCCTAGGGAGTTTCCTTTAAAAATGCGTTTATTTAATGATACTTGCACTTACATATTTCATTACACTTTATTGATTCACCTTAGCACTTTTACTTTTCTAAAAACAGCTTTCAATCCGTTGTAAACGCTGTACTTACCTCAATATTGGTTGGTTATCGTATGCCGACAACCACGGGATGAAAACGAGACGAAGTCGATTTTCCCGCTCAACCTGGAGGACAATTGTACAATTCAACAACTATACGGCCTAGTTCAGACAATGTGTATTTATATATATATCAAATATTTAACTGTTGAAACATTATTATCTTGTAGACAATCTACGATTTGATATTATGTCATACTTGATCGTGCCTGTAAAAAAGGGCATGCATTTTCATGTAAATTTATATGTTTATATGAGAATATATATTATTATTATTATTATATTATATATCTACAAATAAGTAAACAAAGTGTTTTTTAAATAGCTGAAGTAAGGAAGAAGTAATATTAAAGGTAAACGATTTATATCTGCCTACCTTTGCTGAAAATGGTTCATTCTCCTTTCTCATTCTTTGGTAATGACATCATTCTTCTGGGGTTTTCACTGCCACACACATTATTCCTCTTCTAAAGGATAGCAGCAAGCATATAGTAATAATTTCAAATTTCGTATAAACCAATGTTTACAAAGAATGCATGTCATTTCTACAGGCGCAATAAGTTATGTTATAAACTGCAATCGTGAAGTATCATAAATTATAAGAGTTAAATTGTGAACCCTTAACAATGAACACCGTACATTTGGTTAAGTACTATGTCCTTGGAATGTGAGTATACATTTGCAATGTTTAATGCCAACCATATTGGTGTAAACATAGAAAATATGACGTTTTCCATGAAAATACAGCTTTGATCCAACACTGGTGTTGTTGTGTTTCTAATAAAAGCAAATAGACTGTAAGCAAGCAACTAATAGGCACAAAGAGTAAGTCTCAGCTTCAATAAAGGCATATCCAGTTAACATAAAATGAAGTGTAATAGTGCACAAATGAAAAAACTATAGTGAAGTAGATAAGTGATATTTCAGTGAGAGGTAAATTGAACTATCTGCAACCTTACAATTTGGAAGACAACCTGACATGTAAGATCTCTCACAAATTTCTATAGAGCCTGTGGGGTGCCATGGATGGTTTGGCGTCAATCGCAGCTTTGAAAGGATGACTTACAAATGCAAAAGGTAACAACCAACGAAACTGCAGTAGTATTTTCTAGCTGTTCAGCATTTTTTCCTTTGATGCAGTTTCTTATCAACAGTTTGCAGTATTCAGAACATCACAAGTTGCTTACAGATAACTTGTTTAATAATAACTGCTTTAAATATATCAGCCATAAGTGCATCTTCTACATATTTCATAGCCACAATTAAGTCATTAAGGATCTCAGATTATCTTAGTGATGTGAAGCAAAATAATTTTTAAGATTGATATAACCTATGTAACAGGTGTAGTAGTTGTACGACAAAGCCGCTAGCTACTAATCGACAGAAATCTGGTACTAATTTTAAGTACTCTGACATTTGAGAAGGACTATTTATACTATTCTTCCAGACACAATGAACACTGATGTCAATATACTCTGATGCCATTTCATGCACTGAGCAATGAAGGCCTTGAGAAATTTCATGTGTAAATGTCAATTAAACTATTTTTACATCTTCGCCCAAGCACTTTTAACTAGGAACTTCATCAAAATAGATATAATCACCGGGAAATTCAGCAGCCTATCTCATTCATCGCATAATGTCGCCGATGTGTTATGAGTTATCCATTGTCATCACGGATGATAACAGAAAAGTTTAACATGTTCAAAGCACACATCTAACCTATGCCTGCATGCTATTTCTCTTTCATAAGCCAGATTCTAATAGATTCACTGGAATGACAACAGCCATTGACTGCAGTATATTTACAACCTTAAGATCTGAAACAACTCGCAAAAAAACAAACCCTCAACGTACTATAATGCAAATAATAGTCCTTCTATGCGAAATTGTGTTTATAGTTCTCATGATATTGAAGGTTTAATGAAGAGTTTTTCATTTCTCCTTTACATAAAGAGGTGACTTTAGAGTGCGTCGGTGGCACAGTGGTTAGGACTCTCACCGACCATGCACATGGTCCGGGGTTCGAGCCCACGCCGATGCACACCTGATATCTATGGTCGGCCTGCAAAATTTGGGCTACCGATATCCATGCTGAAAATTCCATACTTGTACCAAAAATACAGTGTGGAATCAAGCTGTAAATCAAAAAAAAATTTCTTAAAAAGGATGACTTCTTCATTGATAATTCGTCCGAGCTATAATATATTATTATATACAATTTTACGCTCTACTAAGAACAAAATACAGCAAAATATCGCCATCCGGCTACAGAAGTCTAAAACTAGTCAAATATAATCAATTTCCAAAAAAATAGGTGATTATAACGTCTGTTGACGTGAGCGCGGTAAACGATGGCATTGCGCGATAACACCTAGTGTCGGCATATATCACCACACGAAAATTGGGGAATTTGGTTTTGAACAAACAACCATGAATTGATCGTTCAATCTTCAACTACATTGACACTCCCCGGCAAAAAAGGATCTATTCCTTTTTTCCATCACGACCAATACACCTTGACTTGGATGCCAATGCGAGAAACTGGGTCACTCGGACAGAGCTGAAATGGAAAACAAACAGAAAAGCCAACACACCACAAGCATACCCACAGCACAATCTCACACATCAATGACGACCTGTGCCTTCCAGTTAAAGGCATTCTCTTGACACATCCTCTTGCAACACAATCGCCACTTGCTAGAATGACTCTTGCAGAATG